GCGCCGCACTCGTGGCGCTCCCGAATCGCGCCCGCTTCGCACCCGGGTTGCGCCCGTGTCGCACCCGTCGTGCACCCGTTCCATTTTTAAAGGGGGATGCGAAAGGAGAGGAGGTGACAGCGGCGGCGTCATGGGGGCAGACGGGGGCTATGGGGTCCAGATAGGGGCGGTGGGGTGGGGAAGCGGGGCCCTGGGACGTATCGGCGCGGCACATTTTCGACCGCAGGCAACACGGCTGGCGGATAGCTATGCGGCGGCCCGGTGAGGACACCGAGCAGGAAATTATTGCCCATGATGGGGTGATTGGGAATGTCTGCACTGTAAAATGCTTACGAACTAAATGCTTTGCAACGTAACGAACAATTTTTGTTCTTTGCATTGCAAAGAAATTGTATTCCAAAGCGATTGTTTGCAAGGCTAGGAAGGTTCTTACGAGCAATTGGTTTGCATTACGAGCTTTATTGTTCGTGAGCTTACGAACAATTACTTCGTAATACAACGCTTCAAAACCCTTCGTAAGCTACGAAGGTTTTGGTTTGCATTACGAACCTATTGCTCGTGCGCAATCTACAGGGTGGACGGTGTGTTCGTGTTTAGGCATCGGCTGGGCTAGGGAATCAGAGAAAGCAGTGATACTGTTCATGTCTGACGGCGCCTGGCTTGGGCGCGAGCCTCCCCGGTGGCTAGCTCTTGCGATTGCGCAGTGTTTGAGCCTCGACTGTTGCTGCTGCTGCTACTCTACGCAGTGAATCCCTTCGGCTTATCGGGCTGCCTCCCGTCCCCGCTCTGGCCGCACGACGGGCCGAGAACACTCGCAGTGTTTGGGAGCGTTTCAGCAGCAGAGAGCACCTGGCGACACCATGTAGTACGGCCAGGACGGACGACGGGGCTAAATCGTATAACTCCCTCGAGGGCGTTTATGCTCCTTGCCTTGAAAAGTAACGTGTGTATGAAATTGAGCGCCGTTTGAACATGTTCGTGCATTTTGAAGGCCATTTTAAGTTAAGTGAGAAATTGTCATTACATCCCTCCTTTAGATGCTGCGGGTCTCCCTTATTGCCTGTAATTAAGTATTCCCATCTTTTCTATGACGTACGACTTCACTGTACACCTCTAATAATGTCGTCTTTTGTGCAACAGCAACAACGGCACGGCAGGCTCACCTCAGCGGGCGGGCGCGCACCTTGGCGGCGACTCATATCAGCAGCAGGGACCGACCGGAGGCGGTGGGCGGGGCGGGGGCGCATTGTCTGGGGGAGCGCGTTTAATTGAAAATGTTTCCACTCGCCCGGAGAGGTGCTTCCGTCGCAGCAGGGTGGTGCCTCCGGGGCCCGGCCAGGCCTGCCCGCTTGTCGAGTGGAAGAGATCCTCAGCACCACGCCCCGCTTCGCAAGCCGCCCCCCCCC